TGCATTAGATTAAATTTTAAATGCAGATGATTCACATACCTAAGTTATGGATTCTGCTTTTAAACTGTACACTAATTCTTTGCAAAGACAAAAATGAACAACATTTTTTATAAGAGCTATGACAGAGGTCAGCGTGGGGTGTTACGGGAGGGCTATGTTTAAGGAAAGCTGCCCGAAGCAGGGAAGACTTGAACAGCGTCCTGGAAGGTGACTCGGCATTGCTGGGCAGAGAAAATGGAGAAAGGGCTCTTAGCACCATGCTGGATCTCTTCTCACCGTTTCCGATGCCAATCAGAAGCCAGGTCAGCCGAAGCCGGTTTGGCTCAGTGGTAAGAGTGTCGGTCTGTGGACTGAAAGGTCCCAGGTTCGATTCCGGTCAGGGGCATGTACATTGGTTGCAGGCACATCCCCGGTGGGGGGTGTGCAGGAGGCAGCTGGTCGATGTTTCTCTCTCATCAACGTTTCTAGCTCTCTAGCTCTCTCCTTTCCTCTCTGTAAAAAAAAAAAAAAAAATCAATAAAATATATTAAAAAACAACAACAACAAACAAACAGAAGCCAGGTCAGATGGTGTTGGGTAGAAGAATGAACAGGAAGTGAGAAGACCGGCAACGCCTAGGGCAGGGGTCTGAGTTTGGTGGTCTTGGTGCCCTCTGTGCCTTGCACAGTCTCGGGCACTAGTGTTTGCGGCATTAGTTTGGGACCGAAGAGAGAAGATGGATTTGTGCGGAGGGGCTGCGTCCAGATTGCTGTGTTCCTTTGCGTGCTGAGGAGAGAGAGCCTCCGGCGAGCAGCCGCCCCTCGTCACCTTGTGTCTTCATGGCTGTGCAAGGACGTCAAGCGCACCCTCAGCACCGATCTGCTAGCCTTTAGGTTTTATTCTAGTCTGTTTTTATTTATTATTTTTTTATTATTATTTTTTTAGATATATTTTATTGATTTTGTACAGAGAGGAAGGGAGAGAGATAGAGAGTTAGAAACATCGATGAGAGAGAGTCATCGATCAGCTGCCTCCTGCACACCCCCTACTGGGGACATGCCCGCAACCAAGGTACATGCCCTTGACCAGAACCGAACCCGGGTCCCTTCAGTCCCCAAGCCGACGCTCTATCCATTGAGCCAAACCGGTTTCAGCTCTAGTCTGTTTTTAGTCCAGTGTCTGATGCTTGTCTCTGAACATCATTAAAATGTTTTCAAGACGGTTCTAGAAGTGACCTCACCATGGCCGCTCCAAGAAAACTCAAGTTCCGTTCAAACTTGCTTTGGTTGGTGACGGTGGGGCTGGGGAAATGGCCTGTGTGAAACCTCACCTGACTGGTGAGCTGGAGAAGAGGCATGTAGCCACCCCGGGTATGGAGGTGCAGTCCCTGTGGTCCGCACTGGCAGAGGGCCTGTTGGTTCAGTATGTGGATCACGGCCGGGCAGGAGAAGCATCCGAGCCCAGTGTGCCTTCATGTTGGCTGGCACTGCGATCTGGTGCGAACGTGTGCGAACATCCCCCCGTGTTGTGTGGCAACAAAGGGGACCTCAAGGAAAGTTAAGGCAAACCCAGTCTTCCACCGAAAGAAGAAGCTTCAGCGTTACGACACGGCACGTCTGCCAAAAGTAACCGCAACTTCGAAAAGCCCTTCCTCCGGCTCACTGGAAAGCGGATCGGAGACCCTGACTTGGAGTTCGTCGCCATGCCTGCTCCTGCCCCCCAGAGGTTGTCGGGGGCCCCGCGCTGGCAGCACAGCGTGAGCACGATCTAGAGGCTGCTCAGAGCCGAGACCGGTTTGGCTCAATGGATAGAGCGTCGGCTTGGGGACTGAAGGGTCCCGGGTTCGATTCCGGTCAAGGGCATGTACCTTGGTTGCAGGCACATCCCCAGTAGGGGGTGTGCAAGAGGCGGCTGATCGATGACTCTCTCTCATCGATGTTTCTAACTCTCTATCTCTCTCCCTTCCTCTCTGTACAAAATCAATAAGATATATTAAAAAAAAATTCATTAGAGGTTTTTCAGGCCCCAGACCAGACGGGATGAAGAGGGCCGACCACCTGTGAGAAAGGGAGCTGGGGCCCAGCGTCAGAAGTCTGGCTTTATAGGCAGCTGTCCTGTGCTGTGAGTGGTGCCGGTGTTTGCCACTTTGTCATACGGCTAAGCAGGACCTGTGCTTGGTCTTTGGGCTTCAGAGTGAATGTGGCCGTTGAAAAATGTCTTCTCTGTTTGGACCTGAGGATTTAGCCATATCGGAACGCAGTAGTTTCCTTATAAGAATGCTCCAGTCGCACCACTGTACTCGGTGGGGAAGGCTTGTTTGCTACTGTCATTCCCGCTCCCTTTCATTTAGAATCAGAATAAAGTTGCATTTCAAGGACCTAAGAAAATTTCTATATTTTCATAAGCATCTAACGTGGCTACATAACCTCTTATTTGGGTTGGATTTTATTCGAACATTTCTTTGAGCGTTTAGTTCAAAAACATTTTTCTTTTTTATCTTTTTTATTTAAAAAACAATTTTAGACTTAAAAAAGTTGCAAAAACATTACAAAGAACTTCCACATGTCATACCTTCAGCTCGTTTATGGTCGTGTCTCTCGGAGTTCTCCATTGTAAAGCCAACTTTTTCCCTCTGGAATTAATAAGTATCTTGTGGGGAGATACGTTAAGGCTATACTTTATACGAGCCCATTTCTCAAAGTTTTACCACTAATTTTAGCATCTTTTGCTTTCTTTTTTTTTAGCCGAATTATTACTAAAATGGTTGCTAATGGTGCCTTTTCTAATGATGTTATTCCTTCTGCATTCACTACTTGACCTGCCACTCTGAAGGAGAGTCTCTCCTCGCCACTTTATTGCATTCTTGGTTAGTGGGCTATAATGCTCCAGATCTGGCCATGAGCCCCAGAGCTGGCTTCTTTTTCCGTTTTACTTGTCCTCACTCTGAGCATTTCCCGACATTCAGGCACAACAGTTGGCTTTGATATCCTGGTAAAGCAAATCCTCATCTCATTATTTTCACTTAAAAAAATTATTGGCTCCTCTTGGGCATGAAGTATTCAGATTAATTTTAGATTTAAAAAAATAGTCACGGATTTTGCCGAGACCAGTTTGGCTCAATGGATAGAACATCGGCTTGGGGACTGAAGGGACCCGGGTTCGATTCCGGTCAAGGGCATGTACCTTGGTTGCGGGCATATTCCCAGTAGGGGGTGTGCAAGAGGCAGCTGATTGATGACTCTCTCTCATCGATGTTTCTATCTTTCTTTCTTCCTTCCTCTCTGTACATAATCAATAAAATATATTTAAAAAAAAATAGTCACGGATTTTGACCGGAGTTAGACTGAATTTATAGAGAACTGACATTTCAGGAGGACTGACATGTTTCCACGATTGAATCCTCTCACTCAAGGAGCCTGTTTTATCTCTGTATGTATTTGTATCTTTTATGTCCTTTGGTGAAAATCTTGCCCATTCCCTCCTAAGTTTATTTTTAGGTATTTTATAGATTTTGTTGCCATCATGAATGGGATCCCCCCACCCCCTTACATTTTCTAATTGGTTATTGCTGGTACAGTTTTTAAGAAGTTTTTAATTTAATCTTATAATCACCTACTTCTTATTAGCTATTAATGATGCTTTTACAGTCCATTCTCTTGGCTTTTCTAGGTAGACAGTTATATAACCTGCCAGTGATAACTTTTTATCACTTCATTTGTAATATTTGTACATAATTCCTTCTTTGTATGTTATCTCCTGGCTAAGATATCTGAGTGTGGGTGAGGAGGGGTGGTCCTGGGAATTCTTCTTGACTGATGTTACATTTAAGGGGAGCATCAAAGAATGTGCAACAGGTGAAGCATGGTGGTGGAGGGTGTATTCCAGACAGGCCCAGGGGAGAGGAACAGTATGACAGTCTAGTCACATGAGCTGGAAAAGCAAGAAAAGGTTGCCTGGTGGTAGAAGGGAAAGTGGGAGAGATTCAGAGTCAGAGGAACTTAACCTACCATGGTTGAAGGGGATCACATGGGAAACGTGAGAAGGGCCCTAATTGCTTTGGCTCAGTGGATAGAGCGTCAGGCTCCCGACTGAAAGGTCCCAGGTTCGATTCCGGTCAAGGGCATGTACCTTGGTTGCGGGCACATCCCCAATAGGAGGTGTGCAGGAGGCAGCTGATCGATGTTTCTATCTCTCTATCCTTCTCCCTTCCTCTCTGTAAAAAAATCAATAAAATATATTTAAAAAAAAAAAGAAAGAAAATATGAGAAGGAACATAAGAACAGAGACTGTCTTACCACCAGCAAGGAAACGGGGACTTCAGCCCTTCAAGCTGCAAGGAACTGAATTTGGCAACAGCCGGAATGAACCTGGGAGCAGTTTCATCTCTTCTCATCAGAAAGCCCTGCTGACTATTTGGTTTTGGTCGTGTGAGACTCTCTGCAGAAGACCCAGCTACAAAACTCAGAGGAAATAAATTTATGTTCTTTTAAGCTGCTAAATGTGTGGTACTTTGTTACAGCAGCAGCAGAAAACCAAGACTCAGGGGTTTAGGTAGGGAAGTCATGTCAAATTTGGTGTTATTAACAGACTACTGCTGTGCTATGTGGAAAATGGATTTGGGAGAATGCAAATTTGGAGGCCGGGAAACTTGTCTTTGGGAAATAGTGGTCGCAAGGATGGAGGGTCCTGATGGTGGGGAGGGGTCATGATTTGATAGTTGGGAGGTTGGAATTACCAGAACTTGGTCATCGATTGGATGCCAGGAACGAGGGAGAGATAGGACACAGATGACTGCTTGAGTGACTGGCGAAGCTGTTCTAGACACGGGTGAGCAGATGGGAACCTGCCGTGTCCTGAACTTACCGGTAATTCCAGGTTCTTCCTTTGAAAATTCTTCTATAAATACTTATTTCAAGGGAGAGTCTATCAGTAAGAGGATGGCTGCTGCTTTTAAGACCTAAGTTGGTTTGTTCTGTGGTTTTGTTTTGTAGGTCATGTAGCAAATTGTAAATCATGTGAAGATGGGACTCCTGGTGTTCGTGCGCAACCTGCTGCTAGCCCTCTGCCTCTTTCTGGTCCTGGGATTTCTGTATTATTCTGCATGGAAGCTGCATTTGCTCCAGTGGGAGGACTCCAGTAAGTATGGCCACCCTCGCCCGTCCCCGGAAAAGCCTGCTGCAGACCAGCGATGGGGTTTTCATGGAGCTGCGATGCTCTCAGATTCTCCAGAGATGGGCAGTGAGAATCAGCTGACCATTTCTGGGATCTAGGCTTAGAAGTTGACTATCTTTGTTACTGTAAGTTAAGAACTTACAGAAAACAAACAAACAACAACAACTGCATGCCATGGCAAATTCTTATATGAACCCAGTGAAAAGTGCTATTTTTTTAATATATATTTTTTTATTAAATTATTATCTGTGTACATATTTTACCATTGCCACCCCCTCCCATACATACACTCCCTCCCCAGAGTTTTGTGTCCATTGGTTGTACTTATATGCATGTAGACAAGTCCTTCGGTTGATCTCTTATCTCCCCCAGATCTCCCTCCCCTCCCCGCTGTAATTTGACAGTCTGCTTGTTGCTTTACTGGCTATTTTTTTTTTCAATAAAAACTAAAACTGCACCAGTACTTCTAGTCGTGCATTGCTGCTCCCATTTGCCATTTATTGCCTCAGGGCTTGGTAGTGAAGTTGGTTTTCTTTTGCCTTTAAAACTCCATCTTTATCTTTTCCTTGAACTTTTTCAGTTTAATAATGTCTGTGTTTTATTTTTCCTAAAGAAATTCTGTCTGCTCGGTCTTTGTAGCCTTTGCTGGTCCCGAACTTTCCAGCCAACGACTCCTAATCTCTTCCTGCCATTTGGACTCAGGCCTCACGTGTCACCCAGCGTGTTCTGTGTACCTGCCTGCCCCCTTCGGACTGGGTTTCACCGCACCCGGTGCTGCCTGGGTTGAGGCTGAAGGCTTGCAGTGAAGGCCTGTCCTGAGCAGCACCAGCTTTGCTTGTTCTCTTTTTGACACGAGTAGTTTTCCTTTTGGTTCTTTGGTCTGAAGGCTTGTTGCAGGGAATACCAGGTAGTCTGTTCTGGTTCCTAGTGAATGTCTCTTCTCTAAAGTACTTTTATTCCCCCAAACAGCTGCCCAATAAAAGTGTAGAACTCACAAGAGTAGAGTTGGTCTCTCAGGGTGAGGTGAAAGTGCTAGAATGAGTTGGAAGAGGCACCTGACAGTTGGCCTCGTGTTGAGACCTTGACTGGAAACTATGCCTGTGACGTAGTTCACTCATTTCTCACATGGCCCAAATGACTGAGGCAGTTGCAAGCCAGTTTTTAAAATACAGTGTTATATGGAATGTTTAAGTGCCTCTTTTAAAAAAATATATATATTTTATTAATTTTTCACAGAGAGGAAGGGAGAGGGATAGAGAGCTAGAAACATAGAGATACATCGACCAGCTGCCTCCTGCACACACCCCCACCGGGGATGTGCCCGCAACCAATGTACATGACTGGAATCAAACCTGGGACCCTTGAGTCCGCAGACCGACGCTCTATCCACTGAGCCAAACCAGTTTCGACTTTAAGTGCCTCTTAATTGCTTAGTTTGTAATTACCGGCAATTACTTTGTGTTTCTGGAGTTTACTTAAATTTGTGTCCCAATTTATTTTTAAAATCAAGGAGAATACCCAAACTAAGGAGTGTTTATATCAGTGCAGTGCAGAAGTCTGTGGTTTTAGAGGCATTGTCTGTAGCCATAATGGGTAAATTAATCTGTATCCATAAAATAGATAGGAAACATGTGCAAGGGATGGGGTCCCCATTTCCGATAAGAGCTACTGAGCTGTAGAAGACATGTCAAGGATGAGATAATATTTTACTAGAAAAGATACTAACTTTATGGGAGACCTATTGTTTGTCAGGTCTCATACATTTAATTTAATTTACTTCTTACTATAACCATATGCATATGCTGTTGTTATCTCTATTTTCCAGTTGAGCAACGGAAGTATTTATTTAATGAAGTTGCATTAGTTTATCTAAGTTACACAGTTAATGGCTGTTAGAATTTGTCAAATGCTTTTTCTGCATCTATTTTTAGGATCATATGTTTTCATCCTTTTAATTTGCTTACGTGGTGTATCACATTAATTGATTTGTGGATATTGAACCAATCTTGCATCCCAGGAATAAGTTTCACTTGATTATGGTATATAATTTTTTTAATGTATTGCTGAATTAAGTTTGCTTATATTTTGTTGAGGAGTTTTTGCATCTATGTTCATCAGGGATCTTGGCCTATAAGTTTCTTTTTGTTGTTGTTGTTGTTGTAATGTCTTTGTCTTTGTTATCAGGGTAATGCTGGCTTCATAAAATGATTTTTGGTAGCCTTTTCTCCTCTCTAATGTTTTGGAATAGTTTGAGGAAAGGTTTTTTTTTTGTGGGTGTGTGTGTGTTGTTTTTTTTTTAGAGATGGTAGGAGGGAAGGAGGAAGAAGAGAAAGAGAGAGGGGGAGAGTTTGATTGGTTGCCTCCCACACATGCCCCAACTGGGGGCAGGGGTGAGCCTGCAACCAAGGTATATGCCCTTGACCAGGAATTGAACCCAGGACCCTTCAGCCCACGGGCCAGTACTCTAACCACTGAGCAAAAATGACCAGAGTGAGAAGGATAGGTGTTAATTTTTCATTGAACGCTTGATAAAATTGTTTATCTTTTCAAATAACTGGTTCTTTGTTTCATTGATCTTTTCTATTGTATTTAAGTCTCTCTTTTGTTTTTCTCCCACTATGATTTTTATTATTTCCTTCCACTTACTTGGGGTTTTGTTTTTCTTTTTACTATAGTTCCTTTATATGTAGGGTGAGATTTAATTTTTTTAGATTTTTCTTGTTTCTCAAGGTGGTAGGTCTGTATTGCTATGAATTTCTCTCTTAGAATTGCTTTGGTTGTGTCCCATAGATTTTTGAGATCATGTTTTCAGTTTCGTTTGTCTCAGGTATGTTTTCCTCTTTGATCTCATTTTTAATCTTGTTTAGTAGCTTGTTATTTAGCCTCCATGTGTTTTTCAGTTTTTTTCTTATGATTGATTTCTAGTATATCATTGTGTTCAAAGAAGATACTTGATATGTTTTAGTCTTTTTAAATGTATTGAGACTTGTTTTGCAGCCAAACATGTGGTCTGTCCTGGGAAATGTTTCTGTGCACTTGAAAAGAAGGTATACTAGCATTCTATTGCTTCTGGGTGAGATGCTTTGAAAGTATCTGCAAAGTCCATTTGGTCTAATGTGTCATTTATAATAAGATTGCTTTTTCCTTGATTTTCTCCTGGATGATCCATCCATTGATATCAGTGGTGTGTTACTGTCGATCTCTCTCTTTGTTTGTCAATGTTTACTTTATATATTTAACTGTTCCTACATTGAGTGCATAGTCAAAACAAATGTTTTACAACAGATTGAATTAGAAACTGATGAAAATCCAAATTTCTTTTATTAACTTGTAAATTAAAAAGATTTGCAGAAATGTAAAACTACTTCTTTTTTACTTTTTCTGTTTTAGAAAAGTTATTTTTTCTATTGTTAATTTTAAGTGAATTCATACTTTTAAAATGTTTTAAAAAATATATATATATTTATTATTGATTTTTTACAGAGAGGAAGGGAGAAGGATAGAGAGCTAGAAACATCGATGAGAGAGGAACATCAATCAGCTGCCTCCTGCACACCCCCACCAGGGATGTGCCCGCAACCAATGTACATTCCCTTTACTGGAATTGAACCTGGGACCCTTCAGTCTACAGGCCAACGCTCTATCCACTGAACCAAACTGATTTTGGCTAAAATGTTTCAATATAATAAATATTAATATAATCATTCACCCACATACACAAACACTCTTGGAGTTCTTAGTAAGTTTTAAGAGTGTGAAAGAGTCTGATATAAAAAATTTAAGAACCACTGTATTCTTGAGTCTTCAGAAAAGGGGAGTTCAGAGATTGGGGGACTTTCAGAAGTGAGAGTGTTTAGAGATTGGTTGACCATTAGCTGTGGATTCCCAATTACATGAATAAGGCTGTTGTTGAATAGGATGACTTTCAGAACAGTAGTCATTGAAATGAAGCTATCGCTGATTGTCTGGTTTTCAAAAGCTTGTATAATAATATGAAGCTGTTGTTGATTGATTTGGTTGGGTTTTAAAGTAGTTCTGGTGGTTACTTTTTACTATAGGAAAAAAATAATACTCTTTTTGATGGTTAGCAACCTTTTAGTCTCCATGGAAAAAATGGAAAAGAATAGAAGGCATAACTCTTATTATTCAACAATAAAAAGACAATCCAATTTTTAAAATGGGCAAAGGACCTGGATAGCCATTTCTCCAACAAAGATATACAAATGGTCAATAAGCACATGAAAAGATGTCCAACATCATTAGCCACTAGGGAAAAGCAAATTTGCAATGGGATACCACTTAACACCCACTAGAATCGTTATAATAAAAATGACAGATAATAACAAGTGTTGGCGAAGATGTAGAGAAATTGGAGCCCTCATACCCTGATCGTGGGAATGTAAAATGGCATAGCCATTTTAGAAAACAGTCTGGCAGTTCCTTAAAAAGTTAAACATAGAGTTACCATTTGACCCAGCAATTCCACTCCTAGAAATATAAACTCAATAGAAATGAAAACATATGTCCACATTAAAACTTATATGTGAGCTTTTATAGAAGCTTTATTCTTAATAGCCAAAAGGTGTAGACAGCCGGGACCGGTTTGGCTCAGTGGATAGAACGTCGGCCTGCGGACTGAAGAGTCCCGGGTTCAATTCCGGTCAAGGGCATGTACCTTGGTTGTGGGCACATCCCCAGTGGGGGGTGTGCAGGAGGCAGCTGATCGATGATTCTCATCGATGTTTCTGGCTCTCTATCCCTCTCTCTTTCTCTCTGTGAAAAATCAATAAAATATATATTAAAAAAAATTTAAAAAGTGTAGACAATCCAATAGTCCATCAACCGATGAAAGGATAAATAAAAGTGGTATGTCTGCCAGCGATTTTCAACTGGTGTGCCATGGCAGGCATATGGTGTGCCACTGGGATTTTTAAGACATGCAGTATCTTACTATTTTTATCAGG